CCCCAAAACCCCAAAACCCCTTTATGATAAAATCAGTCAAATTCAATAATTGTGGGATTAATCAAAATAAATTAAAATTTTTAATTTAGTTCACTAAAGATTTAGTATACTTTAAGGACTGTATGAGAAGCTTTAAAAGCCAAATCTTGTTAATGCCAATAATTATTGGACTATGCTGGGTCGATTTTGCAAAGTGCTCGTCGTAATTCAATCAAACATTGGAATCAAATAAAACTTCATAAACTTTGAATCTATCCAAAAAGAAGAGCTAATTTAGAACTTAGGAGAAAGTGGTATAAGATTTTGAATAATTAAAGATCGCTTTTGGTTCATGCTTTGGTATGCTGCATTTTAAAAATGAAATATTCAAGACTATCAGAGACTATGATCCAAATCTATGGATTTGGCTTGGTGATGCTGCATATACAGATGATGTAGCTGCAGGGGTGTGTAAGCTATTTATTTATAAAATTACTACTAACAGATTAAAGTGACAACTCTATGCCAGTTGATTATGTGCAGAGCTAATTTTAGTAAACTTTAGATGATCCTTGTAAGTTGCCATAAGTTATAAAGATTTTAATTTTAAAATATAGATTTTCAGGAGATGAGGAGTAAGGTTCAGGTAATTGGAGTATGGGATGATCATGATTACGGTTTAAATAACGGGGACTCAACTTTTGAAAATAAATAAATGATGAGAAAATTATACCTTGATTTTATAAATGAGCCGAAGTCATCCTTAAGATACACTGAGTCTCACAGAGGAGTTTATCAAGACTATATTATCTACCATGAAGGTCTTAAAATTCATATTGTGCTGCTTGATGTGAGGTTTCATTATAATGAGGATGGTCCTAATGATAGACTTGGAGAATTGCAGTATTAATGGCTCGAAACTATTCTGAGAGAAAACTCTGATTCAGATTTAACATTAATTGGATCAGGTGTGTAAATTCTGCCTGAAAGATATACGTCTTATGTGGAATAATTGGGTCATCCTTCAAAAGAGAGAATCTTAAAAATGGTAAGAGAACTCAAGAAAAGTGGAGTTATCTTTTTAAGTGGTGATGTCCATTATGCTTAGTTCTATCAAACTAAATGTGAATCTTTTACTGGCTATAATATAATGGAGATATGTTCTAGCGGTCTTTCTCATTATCTTAAGCAAGCCTGTCCAAGCAAATTAGAGAATTTCATAGAAGGTCATACACCTAAGATTTTCAAGGTATGATAATCTCTTTTACTTTAAGAATTACTCAAGTTTTATAGGATAGTGAAATTTACATGAACATAAATTTCGCAACAATCTAAATCTATAAAAAATTTGATAAGGAGAATCTTAGAGAAGATGTCTTAGTATCATTAACGATCAGAGATGAATAGGGATTTGCAGTAGAAGAAAGAGTATTATCACTCTTGAAAGATCTCAAATTTGACTCTACTAAAACTCGCTACTCAAGTATGTGCACTAACATTCAGTCAAAAGCATAAAAGATTTTAATGTTTAACAGACTAATTGAGAGCTTTATTGTCGACAAAGATCCCTAATTTATATACCAGTTCATTCTCCTAATTTCATTCGTTTGGATATTACCATTGTGCGTAATTTTAAGGCTACTCAGATATTTTGCAAATTTTAGTTAAAGTATTATCATTCGAGATTAGATGTGATAATTTTAGAAGGAGTGATTTATTAGAATTAATCTTGATTTCATAATATTATTTTAATAACTTACAATAAAATGAGATTAACTTACTTAGTTATACTTCTTTCACATGGATACTTCAAAAACTCTTTTGCTTTTGAATGATCATATCAAAACATTTATATAAATAAAACTGAAGAAGAAGCTTATATTAGTATAGCATTCGGTTCCTGCTTTTAGATATACGATTACTCTAATGATATTTTTAAGATTATTAAGTCTCATAACCCTGATATTTGGATTTGGAATGGTGATGCTGCTTATACAGATGATGTGTCTTATATTGGATGTAAGGATTTGAACTTTGTGTTTATCATCATTATTGTAGTAGTTGAATCTTATTTATATGGGAGCAGTATAATGCCCAAAGATTATGTTATAAGTTAATTTAATAAAACATTACATTAGAGAGGTAACTTTTTGTAGCATTAATCAATATAAAAGATTATTAGGATTTCATAAGTGATCCAGTTAGAAAGCCTAAAGTAATTGGAATATGGGATGATCATGATTATGGTATTAATGATGGAGATAAGAGCTTTTTGTTTAAATAGTAGAATAGATAGATATATCTTGATTTCATTTAAGAACCCTAAGACACATAGAGACGCATTCAAAATGATACTGGTATATTTCAGGATTATGTAGTTAAATACGAAAATATTAGCGTGCACATAATTCTACTAGACTTAAGATATGACTTTGATAAGCAGGGTAAAGATAGATTTGGAGAAAAGCAAATAGAATGGCTAGATAATTTACTAAAGATTAAAACTGATTTAAAAATTATTGTTTCAGGCATTTAGGTTATACCGGATAATTTTTTCTACAATGAGTAGATGCAATCTGAAAACAAGCTTTTATTATTTGATCTTATAGCTAAAAATTAAGTCTCTGGAGTGATATTTCTGAGTGGAGATGTTCACTATACTCAAATATACAATTCAAATTGTGAGTCAATAACTGGAGGTTATAAAATGTATGAATTTGTATCTAGTGGTATGACTCATCATGCCAATATCTTCTAGTATAGAATTTAAGATGATGCACAGTTCGTAACAAGTTAGTTATTTTCTGAGGATCACATAAAAGTTGACTTCAATTTTGGGTTAATCAAAATATAAAAATCATTTGATGATGTTGAACTAGAAATTTAGATAAGAAATTTATAAGATGAGATTATAACATACAAGAGATTGTCATTATCAAAGTAGCTGAAGCACTATAAAAAAAATACAGAGTATTAATAAATGTGCAGATTAATTCACAGTAAGCATAAACTAGCAATTTAGCTAAACTAAATGATTAGCAATACTTTCTAGAATAGCCTTAGTTCTAGTATTTTGATTACATTGATTAGCATACTTTTACTTTTAGCTATTATCCCTGCAATTTTTATCAGAATTACAGCAGTGCTAATAAAATGAATAAATAATGAGATGTATATTTAATTAAAAAATTAAAGTACAGCATTCTTCAGCTATGGGGTTTTGGGGTTTTGGGGTTTTGGGG